CTCAAACTTACGACGGCTTCTCTTTGCCAGACGCGTCACCATGACCGCTCCTGCTGCAACACCAACAACTGCGGATGAGCTCCACGAGGACGAGCTTCAAGATGAGGACCCCAATGTCTCAACAAAGCCTTTTGTCGAACAACGCGCTTTTGGACGTGGCCTCTGGAAGAATCCAATCAAGTTCGTGTCTTCAGCCCCAGAAGTTCAACCAACGACGACATCCACAAACGGCAAGACTATGGCGGAGAAGTACCTCGCGATAATGTTCCCGAACGGCCAGCCACAGCCGGAACCCGAAGCCTTTCCTCGATGCGGCATATGTGGTGAGCCTGTCAAAGAGACGGACCAGCGAATACACTACCTGAGCCCTGCACACCAAGCCGCACTACCACGAGCGCCCATACCCTCCGCAATTGATCGAACGAGAATGGGACTCAAGTATATGGAGAAGCACGGCTACGATGTCGATGCACGGCAAGGCTTGGGCACCAGTGGCCAGGGCATGCTCTTTCCGCTGGTACCCAAGGAGAAGCGAGACAAGCTAGGCTTGGGAATAGACAAGAAAGAGCACACCCAAAGAAAGGCATTGGGTGGCGCAAGCCGCGCAGACGTCAGAGAAGGCAGGCTCGACGCTGGCAAGGTGAGGAAACTGGCACAAGTCCAGAAGAAGAGAGACGACAAGCTGCAAAAGATGTTCTACGGCAACGACGAGGTTGAGAAGTATTTGGGACAGCTAGGCGGCTGACAACGATGACTGACGACTAATGATTAACATGTGGCATTTGCTCTTGACTTGTTCAGGAGGTCCAGAAGCGAGTTTGCGGCACTGCGCCCCAGCGCCATCTGTCGACGCTCTCCCTTCAAGCTACAAGCGGGCGACTATCAGGCACGACATCCGTCAGAAGGCCCTGTTTAACATTCTTAACCACATTGCGACTGCGCGCCATAGCCGAGATTTACATTTGCATAGCGCTGGCGTTGGCTTGGTTTACAATCTGAGATACCCATGGCTCGACAATCGAGCCCCTTACTTGAACACAACTTCTTCCACTCTGTCAAAGTATGAGTACATCATATCTACCTCGACTAGCAAATGTGAGCGCCACGATTATGTCAGACTGACCAGGTCTACTTCCGAATCTTGCAGACTTGCCGCTGCCCCACCATGATCCGTCCGAGAAGTCCGAACCAGAATTTTCACCCCGCCATACTTCTCTCGTCCAAGGCTAACAAGCTCAGCAAGACATGCCATGAGCAGTTCGCGAGCTGAAACAATGCTCATTACTTTTCTCTTGATGAGTCGTCCAATTTGACCTTCTTCCATCGAAAACAACCAAACATCGGTCGCTTAGCTCAGTTGGTTAGAGCGTGGTGCTAATAACGCCAAGGTCGCGAGTTCGACCCTCGTAGTGACCATTCTTTTTGTCATCGTGGGCTCCTGTTGTCTAGGACGACTTGCCAGCGACGTTGTAGCTTTTTGCTGCATGAAACGGGGCCAAACAGTGGACTTCTGAGCGGACTTCAAAACTGTACCCATGTACAGGCTCACGCGCATTGTTCTAGTGGCCACTCAACCACTGGAAACACTGCGAACGACTACTTGTTCTTTGCTCTAAGTTTCAGTCTTTTCATTGGTAGAATGCTAGGAGTTCTTGTTCCCGACTGGAGCAAACTCGTCGTAGCGAGTACCCACACCTAAACAACGGACCAACGGACTGATACACCGTGGCCAGTACCCACCCGCAAACATTTTGCTCGACCGAGAACACCGCCAACTCAATTCCCCCCGAATCCCTCAACTTCAAGTATTTTCTTTACGGAAAATTAGTCATCAATCAGCTTCATCACCGCTTGGTGTAGCGATTTCCCGTCTCCTTGGTGTAGTTGGTTATCACGTGGGTCTCATATCATCACATATGACTACTATTATAGTAGATATCCCAAGGCCGCCAGTTCGAGTCTGGCAGGGGACATTGTTTTTGCCTTCTGGTTGCAGGCGATGGGTGTGACACACTGCTGGTGATGACGACGCTTTTTTTAGACTGTCCTGCTTCAGCAGAAAGTTCGTACAGTGAGAGTGCTACGGCAGTGGACGTCTTCATTTTTGGCTTTCCAATCTCTCCTTCGTGAGCAAGAAAATTGGATATTGAATGCAGTTAGGGGCTTCGTAACCAGCAACGACGGTAACATTCTACCTCCTACAGCAGCCGTATCGCCGTCTCTACTAGCAATACGTTCCCAGAGCACCCAACTTCTTTCATGTGTTATTCAACGCATCAACGTTGACACATTTGTCGGAGCTCGAGTACACCACATGTTGACCTTCATCGTCACTATCACGATGCCTATCTGACCCAATCACGAGCGAGAGACCACATGTCTGAGGCCGATGGTTCCCGTGACACTGAATGTACGAAACGTGTGGCAAGCGATTTATCCTAGCTCAATGTTGATCTTTTTGGTGAGGCTGCAGAGTGGAGGGATACATAGATGAGTGAAACGGTGAGATAGAGCATTTGCGATACGACGTGGTCGTGCATAGGAGGTGTCTAATCATGATATTCGCTATAGAGCTATCCGTATCCACACTTGACTACCCGACGACTGACTTCGAGAACATACCACAACCGATGCTAGTACATCGCTAGACCCAGCATTCATAGCTAGATAGCCACTTCACCCTTGAGTACCTGTTTGATCGTCTCATCCACAATTTCCACCGCATTGTATTTCGCGTAGTCCTTTTTTACGGCACCAAGTCTCTCACTATGGTTTGTTAGCTTTATAGCTTGTCGTCCGGCCTTGGAGCAAGAGGAAGAAGAAGAACGTACTGATATGTTGCATTACCCATCATCTTATCAAAAGACTCAGTCAGGAGTTCAGCAGTCACCTGAGGTAAAGCATTGTATATGCCAAAGCCTTTGTAGTTAATGAGAGCTCCAGTATGCAATTTGTCCTGTCCAATTCCAGAGATAATCATAGGCACGCCAGCACGGAGTGATTGTTGAACAGTGCCGTATCCGCCATTCGTAACTAGCACAGTTACCTTGTTTGATGTTAGCAACAATGAACGCAAGCCCCACTTGTGCCACAGGTATACATACGTAAGGCAGAGCCAAGTCCAGAGGAATGAACTTTGCAACTCTAGCATTCTCTGGGATCTCGAAGTCAAGCGTTTCGACATCCGACGTAACCAACGTAGCAATGACGAACACATCATCCCTACCACCGAATGCTTCCAAAGCTGGTTTGATAAGCGCACTCGTATCGAAGACCACACTGCTGGAAGACACAGCAACAATCTTCTTTCCAGCTGCCTTTGCCTCAAGCACATCGTTCCACCACTCCGGGAGCGTGTGGTCTGCGATCCCCACGGACACGGGTGCACCCATGAACTTAAGGTTCGGTCGCCAGTCACTGCGTTCATATTCGAAGGCCGGAACGCCGTATTGAAGAAATATATCTGACCCAGAACTCGCCATCTCGTTAAAGCCTGATACATCTCTCGTCGCATTCATCTGCCGGAGCATGGCATTGGCAGCCTCATTGACAGGAGTATCGATAGGATGATCCCTGTTCTGGGCCTGTTGCGCTTCAAAATGGATCCTCTTACTCTCTGGACTTGTATCTGGGTGCTTTCCCGAACGAAAAGGGAACGTATCGTTACTAGCCGCCACATATGGCGCCAGACCTATAGCAATCGCTGCGTCGGGACGAATGCCAGGTGCGCCGTAGGCGACAGGGTATGAGCCACCGAACGTGAAGTCGAAGATGTAAATCATCTTCTCTTTCTCGCCGTATTGGTCACGGAACTCTTGGAAGGTTCGTTGCAGCGTGCGGTAATGTCTAGGAATGGTCTTGATGAAGATAGCCGTCGTAGCAAAGACTTCGAGCTCGTTGCCTTGCAGACTGACGAATGTTGCTAGGTCTTCGTCGGACAGGATGAAGTTTCCCTGACCTTCGATGGGGATATATGTTGCGCCCATTGCTTCAATAGTGTCTTTGAAGTCTGGCCCAGTGATGAAGTTTACGGGGTAGCCGAGTGAAATGAGACCTTCGGTGATCGTCGTGATCTTTTCCATGTGGCTGAAGGCGGGGGTTGCCGCCATGATGATGGGTGGTTTTCCGGTCGTTGGAGCTTGACGCGTAACACTTGCGGACGGTGTCTGCAACGCTTGAAGAGCATAGTTGTAAAAGTTTGAGAGGTTGCCGAGTTGGAAGTAGAACACCGCAAATAGTAGTGGCACAAGGCCTGCAACGTACAATGACCTTTGCGCCATGATCTTTTTACTGAGAGCTCGATAGCAACCGGCTCATGTGAAAAGAAAACGACTTGAGGAGGGGGAGGGTGTTCAAGATCATGTACACTTGTACGCCTCTTGTTGTCAGCTTACGTCCACAGGTAGCACATCGCGTTGGCAATTAGGCCTCCAGGATATTGGCCGCACTATCTTACTCCATAGAGACCCGCTCAGGCAATCTCTTCAAGAAAGCTACTGCATCCTAAAGTTCAGCCTTGCTGCCGGTGTGAGCGTAGACTTGTTGTCGCATCGCTCTGAGCCAATAAGCAATCCCCGCAACGGCGCGTCATCATCGGTGGGCGTACCAATGCTTCTTAGTTCTTACATCCTTTATCCAAGGAATTGCACGGCCTTTTCCCTACCTAGGCATTGGGTGTCTCAGAACGAGTCGCGTTAGGCGCTGATAGAATTAGACTGAGATATATGGCGGCGCAAATCCTGAGCTGTAAGCAAGTCTGTGCCTAGCCAGAGACGAACATTGATGAGAGTTTCTGGTTTAGCTTTCAAACGACGCGCCTTCCTTCGCGATACGTCCGTGCACGATGAGGTCACTTCATTCATTGGGCAGGAGCGCTCCGAAGATATTGTCAAATACCATGAATTGGTTTCCGATTGAACGGATTCATACATTTATGTAGAGAAATTAAAGCAACGCTATGCAAGTCCCAAAAGTGTCTTCATGACTGGAAAACGCTCGGTCTATAGACTCGCCCGCTCACCCCCAAGTTTCTTCCCTGTAACCCCCGAGAACCACGCATCCAATGCATCACACGTCCCCTTCCCTTCCTCCAGCTTAACGACAACACCGACATACCCGTCCGGCCTGACAACAACGACGCCTCCCCTCTCCTCGTCAAGCCCCATCTTAGCATGTGCCGCAGCCTTCGCATCCGGCACCCTCTGGTCCCAGACGTCGTCCGCATAAACATGGTCAGCATAGCGGTTAAATGGCTGAGGCAACTGCTCATCGATGTGAATACTTGAGCGGGGCTGCGAAAAGACAAGAGCCAGAGAAAGGAAATCGGTATGTGGGTTATGTTTTTCATAGTAGCGATCCTTCTCCTTAAGGTCGCGGTGGAGGAACGTGCTGAAGAAGGATGTTGGGGATGACATCTGTGTTGCTAGGTCTTTGAGTGCTGTTGCGCTCTTGTCCAAGGCACCGCCGAAGATGAACATGCGATAGGAGCCGTTCATGGGAATTTCTTGTTCCAGATGTACGACGTTGGCGTCTACGACACGTGTGACGGTTGCCGGTGTCATGATTCTGCCTGTTCGTTGGGTTGTGCCCTTTTCGTACGACAGGATGAGGGGGTGCTGTGCGGGGTGTTCTGGGCCCCAGTTTACCATGTTGGGTTTATATGCTACGCCATAACCACTGGTGAATTCGCAGCTGGCTTTGAATGTCTTGATGAACTCATTGTCTTCGGCGGCTTCTTTTGCTGATGCACCAGCGACTTCACCAGCTGAGGGTATCCGGGCGGAGAAGAGCTTTGCGTATCGGGCGTCAAAGTCGAGGAGAGTCTCAGCAATGAGTTTGCGTTCGGATTCGTATGTCGACAGAAGGGATCGTGGTGCCCAGCCGCTCTCTACGTGGTGAATTTTCCATGCAAAGTTTACTGCATCTAAGAAGGCTGTGTTCATACCCTGGCCAGCCTTGGGGCTGTGGGTATGGCAGGCATCACCACCCATGAAGACCCGCTCGTCGAGTGTGTAGCGCTCAGCAATACCTTGTCCAATCGGATAGACCGAGTACCATTCCACGCGATCCCAGGAGATGGTGTATGGTTCGAAAATCTTTTTGGCACGCGCTTGAACGTCTTCTGCAGTAGTCTGCTTCCGTGGGTCCCAGTCTTTATCTGTAGAAGATGCGACTTGAATGTACAAGCGGACCATGTTGTTCTCGCGTGGGATGATCATAATGGAGCCGTTGTCTGAGTGGATTGTGCATTTCATCTGCACTGAGATCAGTATTCAGTAGAAAAACAGATTAGTGAATCAAACATACCTTGATGTCTGGAAAGTTCGTTCTGACAACTCCATCCATGACACCCCAAACATGTGCAATAGGATCTTTGTAGATCATCTTGACACCCAGCTGGTCCCTTACAAAACTCCTTGCTCCCTCACCACTGAACAAGTACTTTGCGCGTACAGTCTCCTCCATTGTGCCATCAACATGCGCCAGGTTGACCTCAACAGGATATGTCGGATCCTTGCCATCATTCTTGAACCCCTTGATCGTCCAGGGTCTCTGGATACCACTGCCGTTCTTCTCAATATCCGAAATGAACGTCCGCTCAATCAAGCCCTGGTGGAGAAGCGTAGTAAAAGGGTACCGTGCATCGATGAACTTGGGACAACTAGCCCAAGTACCTGTCCTGTGAATGCCCTTCTGCGCCGGGTCCCAAAAAGCCACCTCGTAAACCTTTGCAGGTTCGTACTCCATAATCTTGCGCTTGAGGCCCATATTCCGGAGTAGATCCAAGGAACGCGGCTGGATTCCGTCCGCCCGTCCAGTGGCGGTCGGTTCCGGTCGATTGTCGATATGCTTGATCTTGTAACCCCATCTCGCCAGGCACGTTGAAAGACAAAGGCCAACAGGTCCTGCGCCAACGATAACGACGTCGTAGTTTTCCACCGCCATTGCTATTACTTCAATCCAGTGGGATTCTCAAGCAGGATATAGATGAGACGGGAGCGAATCCGGGAATACGGAAAGGGCCCCACACTCGATGATCGATGTCAAGGAATACCTTCGCTCTCAGCTGCACCGAGATATTGGTATACCTCTGTTGTATAGGAAAGCAAGGCTAGAAGTGTGTTTAAAAGTTATGAAGTATATTAATCAAACCACTAAAAACAACGACCCCAGCCGACTCTTTAAGAGACGATCAATTGACGACGCCATCAGTCACGGACCAAGGCTAGTGTCGGCCACCATACGGCCGCGTGTAGTCATGGCAAGACAACTCGGGAGTGTAGTGCGCGCCGGCAACGAAATCGGATGCGAGAGAGGCCCAGGGCCTGGGGACTGGTACATGCTTCTAGCGTGGCCGAACAAGCATGCCGTCATGTTGCGGGGAGTGTGACCAGGCGTAGGCGGAACTGCAGCGCGGCATTTTGGTGCCAAGACGACAACAGCGCCTTTCCTTGTCCGGGTCAAGCGTGGCTACATGGGGGTTAGTGGCAATCAATGGACGCGCGCCAAACTCGGAGCAGCCATCCTTGGAGTGATCCTGCGATGATTGTGTGCATCGTGAAAGACTCCACTTTCCGAGTAAATTTACCGCATCTTCTCCCGTAGAGGTTTTGGTCGTCAGCAGGATTCTTGCTTCTTTCTGGCTTTCGTACGAGGTGTTGTGAGCTGCCAATGAGCATGGCGGTAGTAGGTCCGAATGGAGATCTGAATTAAAGATAAGACAACATGTGTAAGAAGAGTACGCTTGCGATTACCGAAGATGCTTTCCGGGTAGTCTTTGTCCTCGATGTAGGCGCAAGACGTCTTAGCTCCTTCTGAAATTATGTTACTATTGATGGAACATGATGCAAGACTGGATACTGAAATATACCGCGAAACCACAAAATTTTTCCGTCGAATATCTGAAATGCGCCGTCAAGTTACCAAAATATACCGTAAGGTTGGGCGTGGTCAGCATCAACATGCAATGCAAGTCTTGATTTGCCTATGTCTTCAGATTCACTCTGCACCGAAACATCACCAAGTGGACGAGCTTGTCCAGATATGAACACATCTGTTCGGTTTTACCATCATCTCAAGTCAAGATCAATCGAATGCATTCCTTGAAGTCACTACCACAGCGCAAGTCGCTTACGACTTGCCCAGGCGAACTTAGCCGTGTATTCGTACAGCCATGTATGTATATATATGTAATAATACCAGAACCCAGACGCCAGCGCCAGACACACAAAGCCGACTAAGCTCTGCATGTGTTCCAAGCCATGCCGCATAAACGCTGAAGCCCAGACACGGCCAAACATGCTCATGATGCGACGATCGCTCAAGTCAATCTTTTGCCTCCACATGCTTCAATCGAAGCCGGGTCCCGGCAATGCCCCGCAAGCTGTTGCAGCATTGTGTGGCAGCCAGCGAGCTCTTCCCGCCTTATCGCTCTCGCTCTCTCTCCAATAGTCTTCGTTCCGAGATAGAAGTGCATCCCTCAAGATACAACCATTTTCTCAAGTTGAGCAGCCATCCTCTCCTCTTCTTTCTTTGCCCTCGCCGCCTCAGTCTCCTTCCTCATAGTCTCCAAATTCCACGCGTCTCCATCGTCCTCATCATCACTATCCGCATCGCTGTCTTGTGCCCAGTCGCCCTTTTCGAACATAGCACGACCAGTGGCATCCTTGAGTTTCTTGGCCTCTTCCTCGGCTTGTTTCTTGTCGATACGTTCTTTCTTCCATTTGGCGAATGTCTCGGGCGTGACCGGTGTGAGATTGCCGGTGAGCTTGTGGCGTTCGGACTCGAGGAAGTCTTCGAGGGTGAGGGTGTTGAGCGGGGAGTTGGCCATCAAGGCCTTCTCGGCGGCGCGCTGTTCCTTGGTCTTGATGACGAAACTAGAAAAGTGTTAGTACAGATGTGCACATGCTGTGTGGCGAAAGAAGCAAAAACACGTACCCAGGTGGTAGAGAGTGCTTGTACATGCACTTGTCGCCTAGAATCCAAGTCAGCGTATATTTCGAATGCATTTTGTTGTTCAAGCTTACCTCCGTTGGGACACACCCAGAACCAACCATACTTCTGATCCTCGATAGCTTGGATGAAGTACTTGCACACTTTATCCGTCGTCGTCTTCGGGTTGCCGTGCTTGCTTAGAACGACCTGTCGCAGCTTGTCTTCATCCCAATCATCCATGTTATCCTTCTTCCGCCGCTCCTCCTCGGCCTCCTTGTCTTCATCTCTGGTGTCGGTGTACAAACTCCTCTTCTCGGTCTTGCGCTCGATATTCAGATCATGGCTAAACTTGCACTTCTTGCCCTTTTCGCAGTTTCCTTTCTTGAAAAACTGGCACAAGACAGTCTTGGGGTCGGTTCCGAAAGGCACCTTTTGGATTTGTACGGGCTTGAAGAGTTCGGCGGTTTCCTTGCGGGCTGCCTCTGCCGCCGCCTTGTCCTTCTCACGCTGCGCCTTCTCTGCCGCCTTGCGCTTCTCGTCAGGCGTGCCTCCCGATGCAGTGGTCGCTTTGAGCTGGGCAATCTGTTTCTGGGCGGCTCCTCCCTTCTTGTTTTTCATACCAAAGGTCTTGTCTACGGCGACCTTCTTCACCTTGGGCTGCTCGCCCTTGCCTTTGGGTGGCATCTTGGCTTAGTGTATATGGGCGGTGTTGAAATGACAGTGGGGAGTGCGTTTTGGGGTGTTCAAACAATCCGGGCGCCCTGGATGGTCGAATTTGGGTGCCTGGCGGGGGATATGGTACCTGCGCTGTGTGTGTCAAAGTGAGAATGACGCTGTGTGGGGTGGAATTTCGAGTGGCGGAGCATGTTGCGCTAGAGCCAGCCCTACCTTCGCCGACATTCCCGAAGCTTCAAGGTGGCCTTCACATGCACCCCAATAGTCAATCACTGCGCATCCAATACCGTCGCGACACTCCCGTCTTTTGACTTCCTCTGTCGCATCTAGCTTCCGTAAGCTCTTGGCAATTTCGTCTCGTCAATTGGATTTACTAACAACTCCGCAGCGCACTCGAAGCATCACACCCTATTACCTAGCTACAACTGACGCGCCGTCACACTCAAGATGATTACCGACAGCCAACTTTACTCGCTCGCGATCTTCCTCGGAAGCGCTGCTATGCTGCTCATCGTTCTATACCATTTCCTCGAGGTCAACTCAGACGATCACAAGGTTGAGGAGAAGCCTAAGGCTGCGGCTGGCAAGGTCAAGGCGTAAGAGTTGTGCTATGTATACGTCTTACTGAAGGACACTTGGGCAAGAATGTTGTTGCATGGGAACGGGCTGTGTGAGGGACCAAGGATATCAATTGCGAATCAGGGAGATGCCCGTCAAATGGGAGCATGGAGTTCTGGCGTACGCAATATGGCGAACTAACCGCTGACGGATTTCAAAATGTTTGAATTAACTAAACTATGGCATATCTGGGCATGGAGAAACATTTCCGACCACCCCTTTGCGCCTTGTTCTTACCATGGGTATACGCGTACTTGTACAGAATTATCAAATGCGCAAGCAAGATGAGCCTCACATCGAATTCTTAGCCCTCAGTCCTCAACATCTACCAGCTCCTCCTCCATTTCATCGGTTTCAATAAAGCCTCGTCGACGCTTATCGTTCGCGAGTGTTACACCTCCACGATCCATCCCGGGTCCACCAATACGCCTCTTAAGAGACACGAGTCTACCATATGCATCGTGGGCTTCTTGCTCCACTGTACGCTTGGGTGGACGTCCGCGACCGCGACCGCTAGCTATAGGTGCTTGTGGCAACATGCTCAGTGCTTCTATGCGTGCGGGGTCGACAGTGATGCGTGGGGTGACCTGTCGTCCTTGTGCATCGCTGAGATATGCCTCAGAATCGTGCGAGTCTGCAATTAAGAGTGTTAGAGTAGATCTTCTCTTCAGTCACAACCATTTCACGCCGCTAACTATCTTCCTTACCAGAGAGACCAGCGGCCGGCCCATCACCAAGCTGCCACGATAGCGGACTAATGTGGGCTTGCTGTATATGATCACGCCAGTTGCTCTCTAGGTCGAAGGAATGCGGCTGATAGCGTTCAATGCTCATGTTCGTCATATGATCGTAGTTGGTGACCTCTTTTCCGCAATCGTCCCACAAGCATTCCAAAGTATTGTTAACTGTCTCCTTGCGATGTACCTTATAAATATGCTTCTGAAGCGTCTCTAAATTATGTAGATCAGCCTGGCAATTTTGCCACTTGCATTTATACGACTGGTATCGTGGAAGACCGTTCGCAACACTTGGTGATCTTGAACTAATCTGAATTGGTTCGTTGCGCAGAGCGCTTGGCTGCGTCGGTTGCTTCTTGCGAGGACCGGTATGACCATTCGTTGACGGTTGAGCTTGCGCAGCAGGAGAGCCATGAATGGCTTTCCGCCATCCAACTGGACGGCCCTTCTTTTTTGGCAGTGGTTTGCCATCAAGTCCATACTCTGTGGCTGACCGGAAAGCTTGATACCCAACGCCAGCGGCACCAGAGGTGGGACGAGGCACACTTGAACTCATAGAAGCGGGACTGCTTGGGCGTTTGGGTGTTGCTGGTGCACCGTCAGGAAAAGAGTGTCGTGGAGGACGACCGCGGCGCTTCTGCTTAAACGGATTGATAGCTTCAGGTAAAGCTTGGGCCTTGTGCGCCCCACCTTCACCGCCAATGGCGTTAGGCGGAGCGCGGGTGCGCGACTCGTCCTCGTCGTCTGAAGCATCCTCTTCATCGTCAGCATCCTCGGTCAAGGCTTGAACACCGTCTTTGAAATATCCTGGCGGAGGTCTTCCTGGGTCGATGACGTCCCATTTGATTGTACTGAGATCTGAATCGAACCCTATTTGTGGTAACGTAGTCCTCAAACCATCTAGATGTTGATTCAAGCTGCGCTCTAACGGATGCCTTCCACAAGCGAGAAGCACGTCTCGTGCTATTGTGGCAGGGTTGTAAGTGTTGCGACGAAGCGCTTTCTTTCTGTCTAATGGCTCAACAAGAGTCACATAACGAAGTTGTTCGGTAGAAGTCTGCATTGGCTGGGGTGCAGGTGATTGAGGCTGATAGGAAGGAGTATTTGCGATGGGAAAGTTTGGTGTAGAAGGCACCTCGTCGACGGCCATAGTGTCTTGGAGACGAGGGTATGGAGATGCGTATGCATCTGAGTTTATCCTCTTTTGCGGCGGCCCCATGTCCTCGTCTTCTGATAACTGAGTCAGGTCGACCAGATCACTCAGATTACGCTTTCGTGCTGCTTCTTCTTTGTTTGCTGGCTTCCTTAGCTCGGATCTGATTGGCACCATCTCCGCGACAGGTGCAGGTGCAGGTGCAGGCGACGCGCTCCCTGGAAAAGACGGGTGAGAGCTTCCATTCGCTGGTGAGGGAGCTGCGGGTGCGTGTTGTGGGCTTGGCGCGACAGAAGTCGCAACGTCCTTCTTCATGACGGCAGGTGGGACCGGTGGTCTCTGGACAGGAACTGGTGCAGGCTGTGCAGATTTGCGGGATACTGAATTCACATCTGGTACCGCTGTAAGTAAGCTCTTCGCGAAGACAGCGCGGTCTAGCTTCAAACCCATCTTCTCTAGTTGTTCGCATAGTTCGATGTAAGAAGGGTTGCTGTTCAATAGACTCAATATCTGGCCAGGTTCGACTTGGTGGGCGACATTCAGAGTGTTGAGATATGCCGCTGCTGCGCTCGCCAGATGAGCCTTCTTCTCAGGCGGCCAGACCGTGTTGCCAGTTGGTCGAGTGATACTGCTGTTTGGCTGTACTTGTTTGATAGGGACAGCTTGAGCTATGGCAGGAGTCGCTGGCTTTGAGGTACTCGCATTCACCTTTTGCTTGGGTGTCGCCTTTTTATTCGAGTTCGTGACTTGTGGAGCGGAGGCTTGAGAAACTTGTACCGGTTGCAGAGTGGCAGATTGAGGTGCGGGCCTATCGTCCACGGTAGGAGATCTGGGCGCTCTCGCCCTACGTTCTTCTTCCCAGATTTTGGCTAGAAGTGCTGGGTCTTTACTATTCAGCTCTCTCATCTTAGCCATCATTGCTCGAATCTCACTCTCCAGTGCTTCAGCAGGGCCACCGGAGTCGCTAGACGTCGCAGGTGCCGCTTCCGGAGCACCCGCTTGCTGCTCTTGGGCTTTCTTTCCTTTCGACTTTGGCTGTGACTGGCGTAATCTGGCCTCCTCTTTCTTTTGCTCCTCTACTTGACGCGCCTCCTCCGCAATCTTCTCTTCTTCTGCACGTGCTGCATCTTCAATCACCTTTTGTGCGGCCTGCTTCCGCTGGTATTCTGGCCATGGATCGTAAACTGCCATTGGGTCCACTGTGGTAGTGCCCTGGACACTGTGAGTGTCTGCCATGCTAGCAGACAGTGCAGGCGCAGGAGGCGCAATCGCGGAAGGCATTTGCGCCTTGCCGTAGTTATAAGCCGTCGATAGTGTGGCGTTCTGAGAGTTACGCGAGGTTTCCACACCGGCAGGTTGTCGAGCGCTGTAGTCGTCATACTGTTGGCTCGTTGTAGCAGACATACCCGCGCTTCGCGTATTACTAACAGGCGCGGTGTTGTACTGAGGTTGGGCTGGGCTGGCAGTTCGCTGTTGTTGCGAATTATATATCGTTTGGGTTCTCTGCGAAGGGTAACCTGCCACATTGGCTGGTGATGGTAAACCCCGAGTTGCTGGCTGCGCGCGGTTGTTGTTGACACTGTGTGGTCGCGCTTGCGATTGCTCGTAGACGGCATGGGGTTGTTGCGCCTGCACTAGGGGCGAGTGCGAGCTGCCGGCGGCATAGCGGCTGGTGTGCGAGGAGGCGGTGTTGATCGCGGTGGTTCCGGGTTGGGCGTTCGTAGGCGCAGCGTTATTCGTATACGGCGTCGAGTTACTCATACTACGCAGGACTTCGGCGGCGCCTCTAGTTGTCTCTCGTGTCCCTCCATAGTTGCTATTACCCCATTGGTTATCTTGTGCCGTGCCGTATCCACTATTGTGATTCGCATACGATTGAGGCTCATAGGACATATAGTCCTGTGCCTGAGTCGTCGGTGGCTGTTTGTACTGGTGGGCGGGTTGCGCGATATTGTTCGCGGCAGATGCTGTATGATATGCTGCGTATTGTTGCGCCGAACTTTGTTGATACGAGTGGCTGTACGGCTTGTAGTTGTTCGAGGACATGTTGGCGTCTGCTAAAAGCCTGGAGGCCTTTCTGCAGCCTTTACACGGGTGGGGTTGGACAACTGCATGGAGACTGTGGTTCGCGTGAAGGAGCGGGAGATGTCTTGGGCGCGGGGTCTTGGTTGGGTATAGATGGTGATAGTTCAACACTCTGAAATCTTATACACCGACTAGACGACTGCGCGCAACATATGCGCCGTCGTTCGAGAAATCAGTTTTAGCGACGCGTCCTGCATGACGTCTCGGCGAATGCGGTCCACGATGCGGACGCGACTTCCTGGCCGGACCTTTCGGAATCGGCAAAACACTTCTTCCGACCACGCTAGCGAAGCGAACCCGCCCCAGCAAAGGCACATCTCACAACTCCAATTTTTGCGATCGCGACACGAACTTTGTCTACTAACCCGACAACCCGCCAATTCCACAGCAAAAATGACCAAGGTCCAGTCAATGGT